TTCTGAATCCATTTCGCCACTCTGTGTCTCTTAATTGGTGAATTTCGACCATTGACGTTGAGAGTGATTATTGTTATGGGGTTTTGTGTCATCTTTCTGTAAGGGTCATTGTGCTTGTAGGGTTTGTCTTGTATTATAGTAGCCCCTTTAGCCCTTCTTTTAGGTTTGGTTTTAAGTCTATGAAGTTCCTGAGCTTCTGTTTATCCAGAAAATAGTGTACCGTTCCTTTGAGTTTGAGTGAGAGTTTAGCCGGATAGAATATTCTTGGTGAAGCATTCATTTCAGTGAATTTTTTCACTATATCCCACCATTGCTTTCAGGCTTGGAGGGTTTCCTCTGATAGTTCTACTGTGAATCTAAGGGGTGCTTCTTTGTATATGATGTCCTTCTTTGACCTTGCTGCTTGCAGTATTGTGTCTCTATCCACAGCATCCATGATTCTAACTATGATATGTCTTGGAGTGTTTTTGTTTAGGGTTTCTTTTAGTTGGCACCCTTAGGACTTTTTGAATCTGAATGCCTGCATTGTCCAGCTCTGGAAACTTTTCAGCAATGATTTGTTTAACAGTGGCTTTTTCATTGGGATTGTTTCCCTGAGCTTCTGTTACTCCAATGATCCTAATGTTGTTCCTCGTGGAATCATCTCCTAGGACTCTGATTCGTTCTACAGCTATTTTGAGGTCCTTTGCTATTGTTTGTTGTTTCCTGTAGGCTTGGTGCAGTTTACTTCCAGCTCACTGATTCTGTCTTCATCTGTGGCTATTCTACTTTTGAGGGGACAGACTGAGTTTTTTATTTTATCTACAGAATCTTTTATTCATGACATTTCTGTAGCTTTCCAATTTCTGCTCTCATTTCTTCCCCTAATTTCTTGATTGTTTCTCTCATGTCCTCCTTCAATTTACTGGATATCTGTCTCATTGTTTCATTGAGTTCATTGAACATCTTCATTCATATCTGAATTTTTTCTCAGAGATATCCCTTAGGTGAGTAGGACCTACTGAGGCTTCTGGACTCTTTTCATCGTCCTCCCCTCATGGTGGGGATTTGCATTGTTTCTTCATGTTGGTGTGGAGGTATGGAGACTGAGATTCTACACAAGATTGCTGAGTATGGATAAACTAACTGCGACCCCAAATTAGGCCACACCCACGTCTACTAAGGCCACGCCCCTACGGATACCTGTTGTCTGTGGCAGGTACAACTTTGGGGTGGAAGAAGACCGGGCACAGAGTTGGGGGCGAACAGGAAGAGGCTCAGGCATGGCAAGCGTCCCAGGGCCCTAGAAGATGCCTAGGGCACATTTGCGGGAAAAATTGAATTTCTTTTTTGAGGATTTGCTCGAGCGGGCCCAGTAACGTCTCCATTGGAGACTTTGTTGTTACTGTGTCTGGCATATCGAATACTCTCGGTAGCTTGCCGGGCTCTCCGAGAGGGGCAGAGGAATCGAACTCGGGTCGGCCATGTTGGCCGCGTGTAAGGCGAATGCCCTACCCAGGCTGGAGCGATAGCACAGCGGGTAGGGCATTCACCTTACAAGCGGCCAACATGGCCGACCCGAGTTCGATTCCTCCGCCCCTCTCGGAGAGCCCGGCAAGCTACCGAGAGTATTCGATATGCCAGACACAGTAACAACAAAGTCTCCAGTGGAGACGTTACTGGGCCCACTCGAGCAAATCGACGATCAACGGGAGGGCCTTTACCTTTTTATTTGTTTGTTTGTTTTTGCTTTTTGGGTCACACCTGGCGATGAGCAGGGGTTACTCCTGGCTCTGCACTCAGGAATTACTCCTGGCGGTGCTCAGGGGACCATATGGGATGCTGGGAATTGAACCCGGATTGGCTGCATGCCAGGCAAATGCCCTACCCATTGTGCTATCGCTCCAGCCCCTTCTCCCCATTTTTTGATGGGGTTGGAGGATTTTTTTCTTATAAAGTTCTACCAGCTCAAGAGTTTTTGAAGACAGGCGATTTTTTGTGGCTATCTCTCTCTTGGTGTTCCTCGCACATTCATGGAGGTGCTGAACCAGTCAATCATATTCCTCGTCAATGTTGTCAACAATGGCATCTTCCCATGTTGCTGCAATAGTGCCAAAGAGTACCCAGTTGGTGGTTGTTCTGGGAGTTCTCTTTTTGAACTTTGCAGCCCTTTCTCCCCGCTCTGTGAAGTAGAATTTTGCACGAAGGAGACGGTGGTCCGATCCCGTTCGAAATTTTGGGACAGCAGCGACATCGGTCAGGCAAAACCGTCGATTGAATATGATGTGGTCTATTTCTTTGTGGAATCGTCCACAGGGAGACTCCCATGTCCAACATTTAGATTCTGCCTTCTGGAACTGTGAGTTACCATGGATGGTCTTGGTCGACAAGACGAACTCAGACAGTCTCTCACCCTGTTTGTTCCATTCTAGGCCATGGGTCCCGATGTGAAGTTCTTCAGCTGATCTTCACTCGAGTTCTTCACTCGCTACCTGTCTGAATTCAAGGTTCCGTCCCAATGGAAAACCAGCAGGACCGTACTACTGTTCAAGAAGGGAGACATCCATGACATTGGCAACTATCGCCCGATCTGCCTATTGTCTGTCATCTACAAGTTGTTCACTCGAGTCATCCTAAATAGGATTGGCAGAACACTAGATGAAGGACAACCATGCAAGCAAGCCAGGTTCCGCAAAGGATTCAGCACCATCGACCATATCCATACGATAACCAAACTCATTGAGGTTTCTCGGGAGTTCAAGATGCCGCTCTGTTTAACGTTCATTGATTTAAAGAAGGCCTTTGATTCTGTTGAGACGGAAGTGGTCATTGAAGCCCTAGCCAATCAGGGCATTCAAGCCCAATACATCAAGATCCTCCGTGAGCTATATTGCAGATTCACTACCAGGATCTCACCATTCTACAAAGAAGTGATCGTTGATGTCAAGAGAGGGGTTCAGCAGGGTGATACCATTTCACCGAAACTCTTCATTGCCACCCTCGAGAACATCATGCGATGACTGGAATGGGAAGGAATGGGAGTGAAGATAGATGGTCGGCAATTACACCACCTCCGCTTTGCTGATGACATTGTTTTAATAACACCAAACATCAGCCAAGCGGCACAAATGCTGGTCAACTTTGACCGTGAGTGTGGAAAGGTAGGACTACAGCTGAATCTTACGAAGACAATGTTTATGAGAAACAGCCTCGTTCCTGATGCCCCATTCGCTCTCAACAGAACGACCATCTCCGAATGCAACAGCTATGTGTACCTAGGTCGAGAAGTCAACATGACAAATGACCTGGCACCCGAGCTGCACAGGAGGAAGAGAGTGGCTTGGAACGCCTTCAAGAACGTTGAAGAAATAGCTAAGAGGACGAAGAACCTCCGGCTCCGGGCACATCTCTTTGATTCCACTATTCTTTCTGCACTAACATATGCCTCAGAGACCTGGTCCCTACACAAACAGGATGAGAACGCTATTCAGGTCTCCCAAAGAAGAATAGAAAGAGCTATGCTTGGAATATCACGTTTCACTCAAATGAGAGAAAAAATCCGGAGTTCCGACATCCGTCGACGATCAAGAATAAGAGACACTGTCTCATTTGCCAAGGTGTCAAAAATCAGATGGGCTGGTCACGTAATGAGATTTAAAGATGACCGCTGGACTAGAGCTGTTACTGACTGGATTCCACGGGATGTCAAAGACCGCATGGCTGCCCACCTACCAGATGGTCAGACTTCTTTGTCAAGATCATGAATGATCGGTTTGAGGCTCTTCATGTTCCCAGAGCAAACAGATGCCATTGGGCTACACTAGCACGCGACAGGGACAAATGGAGACGTTACTGGTGCCCGCTCGAGCAAATCGACGACTAACGGGAAGTTAAGTGATTAAGTGAAAGTTCTACCAGTGTCTGACATCTCCTCCCATATATTTTCCTGGAGGGAATCGGGCATAGAGGCACTCACAAACATCCCAGCTCACTCGAGAGTTTCCTGTGGGTTGACTATCGGCTTCATGGCCAGACCTGCACCAGGACTTTGCCAGCTGGGTGTGTCCCTCCCTGTACTGGTGCCACCTTTGTTCATGAGTAAACACTGTTTCTGGCTAAGACAGTGTTTGAGTTCTCTGAACCCTGGTCCTGTCCTCACCTGCCTCTGGTCCCAGGCAGAGCCCCCAGGGCTGAGGACCAGGATCCTGGGGACTCCTGAAGTCACTCACTGATTTCTATTGGCTGGTTAGGAATTAGGCAGACACACATCTTAATTTGACCTGTAGGATTTGCAGGGTTCACAGTACACCAAGAGCATACAACAACAAAGCTCAGGCCCAGGTTCAAGAAGAAATTTGGGTCATGTTCATCACCTAAAAGCATCGATTAACAATTGGGAAGTGTGCGCAGTTTTGCCTGAAGACAGAATCCCTGGTCGTGACAGGCCCTGTGGTCTGGGGTCTCAGGGGGGCGCTGTGTTTGTGCCTCTGTCCAAGCTCAGCCCAACTGGCTCTGTCATGTCAGGGTGGCTGTGGGCACTCTGGCCCCATCACCTTTGCATGAAGAAACGGAGGTTGGTCCTCGTTGCGTGCAAGAGCTGACCTTTGCCAGGGGGACGAAGGTTCCTGATGCCTGTGAGTTGCTGTGCGGATCAACTGTAGCCCTGTCTCTGCTTGAGTCATGCTATGAATGAATGAATGAATGAATGGGCAGCCCAACTCTCAGCTGCTTCGGGTCCAGATCACAGTCTGCCCAGGAGTAGCGACCAGAAGTTTGCAGGAATGGACTCCTGGTCTCCTTTCTGTTCTTCAGAAATGTGAGGTGATGTGTGCCTGGGTCTAATCTCTGCGCAGGGTCGGACACAAGAACTCCCTATATTGTTCTCCTGATCAGCACTGGGTGGGGCTTGTGGGCCACTGGTGAGCCCAGAGCTGTGAGTCAGACGGGGCCGAGGGCCAACCTTGGGGAGTGCCACTATTTATTTGGAGGCACAGATGCTGTTACTTACAACAGCAGCAAATCTCTGGAAGAAAAAGTCCAGAACCTAGAGAAGACAGGATGGCAACAGCCGGGAAAGTAAGCAAAGTGTTACTGAGTCTTGTTCTTCCAGGGGGAATGGGGTTCTGGCTTTGAGGTCTCTGAGTCACTGAACACTCGGGGTCTCTCCCAGAGTGGGTGCCCACTAAGCTGGCACACAGGGTCGCTGCAATGCCAGTGGAGACAGGCTAATGGCTGGAGAGGGCAGTTGTGTCCATCACTGAGAAAGGTGAAGGGGAGCAAGTAACAAACTTCCTCACAGTAACTTTGTAACTGTAATTCATGGTAACTCATAGGCATGGGGGGCATTTTGCCTTGGAGTCAGTCTCAGGACCGTGGGTGGTGCTCCACTCTGCACAGGGGCAGTTTTGTTTGCTTTGTTTTTATTTCAACAACTTTGTATTTATCTTAGCTTGATGTTGGGGGAAATGAAGATTGCATTTGAGTCTGGGTGGCATGCCAAGTGAGGAAGAGCCAGGAGGCTTGGATAACCCAAGCAACTGTTTGATGGAATAGGAGTGGAATCAAAGAGTTCTAGCCGGGACAGGAGCTTAGAACCCAGCTACGTTGATTAGTTAGGAGACTGCTTTTGCATTGTAGAGGCTCATAGCCCTGTGCGCAGAAATTCAGTTTCTCACTCCACCCAGCCAGTGGGTGCTGGACTCCCAAGCCTCCCTGGTGACGTCTGAGCAGCATTGCGGGGACTGTCCCGAGAGGGGCTTCTGCAGCCCCCAGCAGCACTGCCTGATGCCAACGACTTGATGTGTCACCTCGACAGTTTTGAGAGGGTCGTGCCACAGTGTGGCTGACATAGGGACGCTCAAATACTGCACCAGCTAAGTGTAGTGTGGGAAAGAAGCGAGTGCTGCCTTGACACTGAGCACTTAAATGTTTTCTCTCTCATCAAAAATGTGAAAACTGAGCCCAGGAAAGCCCGGAGCTCTTGCATGGGCTTATCGTGACATGCCTTGCTCCAGCCCAGCGCTGCAGATCTCCCAGGCACCCCCAGGAGAAAGCCCCCGAGTAGTGCAAGGCAGGGCCGGGGCCAGGCGAGGAGATGCCCTCCCGCACGTGGGGCGATGACCGGAGCTCTCCGGCCGTCCTTCAGGGAGCCAGGCTGGAGCCTGTTCTAACCCTCGGTTCGTAGGTGATCAAGTGCAAAGCCGCGGTGCTGTGGGAGCCCCATAAGCCCTTTTCCATCGAGGAAATCGAAGTGGCGCCCCCGAAGGCCCAGGAAGTGCGGATCAAGGTAAGGCGCTCCTGCGGGCCCACCCAAGAGAACAGATTTTCCAGCCTGGACGCTTGTTTAAAATTTTATATTTATTCTCTTTCTGGCTCTTGTTTATGATTAAGCAGTTGGTCCTACTGGACATGAAAAAAATATAACCATCCATTAGAAACCAAAGCTGCTAATCTGATCTAGTAAGACTTTCATTTGTCAGATTATTTATTTTGCTTTTGGGTCACACCCGGCGATTCTCAGGGGTTACTCCTGGCTCTGCACTCAGGAATTACTCCTGGCGGTGCTTGGAGGACCATATGGGATGCTGGGAATCAAACCCAGGTCAGCCGCGTACAAGGCAAACGCCCTCCCAGTTGTGCTATCGCTCCAACCCCACATTTGTCAGATTTTTATCAACATGGAAGCTGATAAAAAAATAAGTATTAATTGGCTCTCAAAATCCTCTGGGAGTTGGGGGTCACTTCCTGTGCTTTTGTGCCCGGGCCAGCCCTGAGAGCCCTCCCTGTAGACGCTTTGGTGGGCACCCAGGCTGCCTGTCTCCCTTTGTTTTTTATTTTGTTTTGTTTTGCTTTTTGGGTCACACCGGTGATTCTCAGGGGTTACTCCTGGTTCTGCACTCAGGAATTACTCCTGGCAGTGCTCAGGGTACCATATGGGATGCTGGGAATCGAACCTAGGTTGGCCACATGCAAGGCAAACGCCCTACCTGCTGTGCTATTGCTCCAGTCCCTGCCTGTCTCCCTTTGGCGCTCTGCGTCCTAAGCCTGCTTGTTTCTGGCAGGCCATTCTTCTGCCTTTCTTGGGAGATGCGTCACTGTAAAATGACTTTGTGTGCCTAACAAGCACCCTGTTCCCCAGGGAGGCCCTGCACTCAGAAGGGCTTCAGTGAGTGCCAGTGAGTCCCTCTCAGCATGGACGGGTCCTCTAGGTCCTCTAGAGGTCCTCTAGAGCACCACTTTCTTTGCGACAGTGGGAGGACTGAAACCTCCTCTCAGCCCCCAGGGAAGGATGGCTGCTTTCTGGGTAGTGCAATGTCCTTGTCTTTGAACCCAGATTCTGGCCACGGGAATCTGTCGCACCGATGACCACGTGATCAAAGGGCTGATGGAGTCGAAGTTCCCGGTGATCGTGGGCCATGAAGCCACAGGGATCGTGGAGAGCATCGGAGAAGGCGTCACCACGGTGAAGCCAGGTGTGACGGGCAGGCCCTGTCCGAGCTGGGCCCGACAGTGGACATGGGGAGCAGCAGGAGTGAGTTGCACAGAGGAGCCGCGTCTGGCAAGGTCTCCAGTGTGCCGAGAAAGCCTTGGTGCTCCGTCAGGATTCAGTGCTGAAGGAAGGACCCCTTCCAGTGCTGAGAGCTCCATGCACACCTGTCTAGTTTGTGATGCAGTGTCATGCTGTCCTCTCTCTAGGCGACAAGGTCATCCCTCTCTTCCTGCCTCAGTGCAGAGAGTGCAATGCCTGCCGGAACCCAGAGGGCAACCTCTGCGTGATGGCCGAGTAAGTGACGTTTGTTCACTGATTGATTTTGCATTTATCTTGGGCTGCTGGCGCTGAATTAACCCGTGTCCCTGCTGGCCCAAACAGTGTCACCGGCCGTGGGGTGCTGGCCGACGGCACCACCAGGTTCACATGCAAAGGCCAGCCTGTCTACCACTTCATGAACACCAGCACCTTCACCGAGTACACCGTGGTGAATGAGTCATCTGTGGCCAAGATCGACGCCACGGCTCCCCCTGAGAAGGTCTGCCTGATTGGCTGTGGGTTCTCCACGGGATATGGAGCAGCTGTGAGAACCGGCAAGGTAAGGGGGCAGTCAGCCTCTCTGAGCCTGGCTCAAGCCCCATGCCTCTCTGAAGCCCTCGCCCACAGCCGGGCTAGGTGGTGCTGCTGTAACACCATCTCGGTTCCAAGGTCGCCGCGCATGCAGAGAAGTCCTGCCTTTCTGTCTGTGAAATCCCTTCCCTTTTCTCAAGAAGCAAGATGCTTCACAAAATGTGCACACACCTGGAACAGGACGGGTGGCAAAGGGAGAGCTCACTGGCTTTGGACTGGGAATAACACCTGAACATAGCAGAATCTGGGGCTAAAGCCACTAAAAAGCTCACAGGCTCATGAGATGTGGCCTCAGGAGAAGTCTGGAACAGCCACACGTAGAGGCCAGTCGTATCCAGGTCTGGGGCTTCATGCTGGCCACAAGCAGAGTGACAATCATAACCTTAGAGGCAAAAGGTAGAATTTTAAATTCAACCATCAACAAAAAGCTTCTGTCTCAAATCTAGAAAATGTAGTTTTCAGGTAAAATGGAAGAGAAGGCTGAGAAGGTGCCGCTAAGGCTCTGGTGTAAAATGCGGCCCAGGACTTGCTGGTTGGCGAGAGAGGGAGGCAGCACCTAGTCCGTTCTGGAAGAGGAATGGAGGGCTACAGGTGCCCAGGCTGAAACACGGCTCAGGAGAGAGACCCAGCCGCTGACTCGGGTGCCGACACATGCACACACGCACACGCACAGCACACATGCACACACACGTGCACAGGCACACACGTGCACAGGCACACACACGCACACACATGTGCATGGGCACACACGCACACAGACGTGCATAGGCACACACATGCACACATATGTACAGGCATGCACACACGTGCACAGGCACACACATGCACACACGTGTGCATGGGCACACACACAGAGACGTGCATAGGCACACACATGCACACATATGTACAGGGATGCACACATGTGCACAGGCACACACATGCACACACATGCACAGGTGCACACACAAGTGCACAGGCACACACACACACATGGACAGGCACACACACACATGCATGCACACACGTGCACAGGCACACACACACACACACATGCATGCACACACATGCACAGGCCTGCTTCTTTAGGCAGCTCCTGCCAGGGACAACAAAACCAGGCAACCAGAGTCTGGAACAGCCTCTGCTCAGCCCTCACTGTGCCTTGGGAAAGAAGGGCCGTCCAGAGGGCTGTCGCTCCAGGCTCCACTTTAGCACAGCACACAGCAAATGCCCCATTGGTGGGCATGCGTTGCCCCCTGGAGCCACACGCAGACCCTCTCCTGGCAGGGTGGAGCATCAGCCCTGACACAGGGCCTGGGACTGTGGTGATGACAATGCTAGTCAGACCAGATGCAGACATGGGGAAGAGACCACAGCTGGCTGGAGAGACAGGACAGGCAGAGCACTGCCAGCACCTGCCCACCAGCTGTGCCTCGAGCCTCTGCAGGAGCCATCCTGAGCATAGAGACGGGAGTCAGCTCTGAGCACCACTGGGTGTGGCCCCAACTCCCAAAAATGAGAGCAAGAGAGACAGACAGACAGAGAGACACAGAAACAGAGAGACACAGAGAGAGACAGACACAGAAACAGAGAGACAGAGACACAGAGAGACAGACAGACAAACACAGAAACAGAGAGACACCGAGACACAAAGAGAGACAGACAGACAGACAGACACAGAAACAGAGAGACACCGAGACACAAAGAGAGACAGACAGACAGACTCAGAAACAGAGAGACAGAGACACAGAGAGACAGACAAACACAGAAACAGAGAGACACCGAGACACAAAGAGAGACAGACAGACAGACACAGAAACAGAGAGACACAGAGGGACAGAGAAAGAGAGAGACAGACAGGAAGACAGACAGGCAGACAGAGAGGCAGGCAGGCAGACAGAGGGAGACAGAGAGAGATTTCAGGGCTTGGCCTGTTTCCCTGTTCAGTAGATGAGATGTGAGTGCTGGCCAGGGGCTGCCCACGTCCCCACGGCCACGCCTGCGGCTAGGCCCTCTCAGAGGGTTTCTCTGACCTGGAAGTGCTGCCTGGCTCTCACCTGCCCCCAGCTACGGCATCGCCCCTCCACAGGCCCTGGGATGGGGCGGCTCCTCCCATACCTCTCCTCTCTCAAGGTCAGGCCTGGCTCCACCTGCGCAGTCTTCGGCCTGGGTGGGGTGGGCCTCTCCGTCATCATGGGCTGCAAGTCGGCCGGCGCATCCAGGATCATCGGGATCGACCTCAACAAGAGCAAGTTTGACAAGGCCATGGCCGTGGGGGCCACGGAGTGCATCAGCCCCAAGGACTCGCCCCAGCCGGTCAGCGAGGTGCTGTCAGAGATGACTGGCAACAGCGTGGACTACAGTTTCGAGGTCATCGGGCGCCTGGACACCATGGTGAGGGGCCATCGGGCAGCTAACAGCCTGTCCCCACCCCGGCAAGAGCAGGCCCTTGGTATCCCATGGTGACCTGCCTGGGAGCCCACCACAGCCCCCCTCACCCCTCCTCCTCACACACAGCCCCCGCTATGGCACCTCGGTGGGCACCTTCCTGCAGAGGGACTGGGACACAGTCAAAGAGGGCCGGGGAGCAGGGTTACTCTCCATGCCACCCACATCTCAGTCTAATTTCTTCTTCACACTACAGCCCGTTGGCCCAGTTAGTAGAGTTGATTCTGCTCAGTTGGCTTGACTGGGCTACAAACCTCACAGCCTGCTGTGGTGGCCAGTCTGACTTGGGTCAGCTGGGGCCTCGTGCCTTCAGCTTTCTCACTTAGCTGGGCACCCTATGAAGGAGCTTGTTGATGTCTGAGGCCTGACTGGGGAACTGGGCTCACTTGGACTCTGACGGGCTGGAAGGGAAGGGGCAGGGGAGAGCTGGAGGGAGGGGGCAGGGGAGGGCCTTCTTGGGACGGGGCCAGGAAGGGCTGGGCAAGGCGCATTCTCGGCCCAGGGCCTGACCTGCACAGCCTCCTCCCCGCAGGTGGACGCGCTGGCCTCCTGCCACCCGAACTACGGGACAAGCGTGGTGGTGGGCGCCCCACCCTCTGCCCAGATGCTCACCTTCAACCCCATGATCCTCTTCACGGGCCGCACTTGGAAGGGCTGCGTATTTGGAGGTGGGTGTCTGCCGGGCTCTGCCTCTGCTGGGGTCGCCCATGGGGTAACGGTGAGTCTGGGGCAGCGCTGGCCCCCAGTGCCCCAGCAGCTCAGCAGCGCCCCTGCCTCACCTCGCCCAGCATGTCTGGGCAGGGGCTCCTGGGCCTCCTGCTCTGCGCGAGGACATGTGGGGAACAAGGGGTTCGGGACCCCCAGACAGAGCAGGAGAAACCCCGCTCACAGAGAAGTTTCTTGCCTGGCCTCGCTCCATGGGATCTCTGGCTGTGCCCCCCACCCCACAATCTTCTCTGCACTCCCTGCCTCATGGCTCCATGCAGTGACAAGCACGTCCAGGTCTGCAGCCTCATGCCCTGGTCCTCGCCTGACCTCTCGGGGGTCTTTGCCAGACACGCGTAGCCTCAACTGCTCATCCCCGACCCCCACCAGGGCCAACCTGGAGCTGGTGCCAGTTCCAACAAAGTCTGTTGGCTCTGTCTCGAGACCACCTGGCCACCTCACCCCTGGTCCTGTGCCCCACAGCCATGGGTGGCACCTGAGCAGTACAGCCTCTCTGAAAAAAAGGCTCTCGGGCAGCCCCAGGGCCCAGGGCGGCTCTGCCCCCTCTCTGGCCTCTCTAGGTTTCCACTCCCTTTCACCTGAATACTGAGTCTCTGCCACTTCTCTGCTCCTTTCCTGTCCTGTTGCATGCCACAGATTCCCCGCCTCTGCCTGTGCTTGTCACTGGGGGGCGTGCTCTGCTTAAACACCTGCTGGCTGGCTCTGTGCCCAGGATGGCACAGAGCAGGGTTGCCTCTGGGTGCCGGGCAGTGCTCACACACCCACCAACTGCCTCCCGACAGTCTTGAGCAGTGCCTCCTCTTCCTTGCCTCCTCTTCCTCCCGTTGTTCATCAATTTGATGGAGCGGGCATAGTAATATCTCCATTGTGACACGTGTTACTATATTTGGCATATCAGAGGCTAGAGGTGAGGCGGTCACAGCTCTGTTCTCTCAGGGTTCGCTTCCCGCCAGCCAGCCCTCTCACCGGCAGGAAAGGACAGGGGGCTGGCAGGGGCCAGCCAGAGTCCAGAGGAGAGGAAGGAGGACGGGAAGTAGGGCGAGGGGGAGACAGTAGAGGAAGGGTGCTGGAAGCAGTGTGGGAGACACTTCCTGCAAGGAAACCCTTGGAAGGAGCAGGCGTGGGGGCTCTGAGCCGTGGGCTAACCAGGCACCACACGTGTCACTGCCTTGGCTTCCCATGAGGGACACACAGCTCTTCTGTGCGCTGTTGAGAGCCCTCTGGGAAGGAAGCGCACACACACAGGAGGACACATGTGCTTGTTTGCAGGCTGGAAAAGCAGAGATGACGTTCCAAAACTAGTCGCTGATTTCCTGGCAAAGAAATTTGACCTGGACCAGCTGATAACCCATGTTTTGCCTTTCAAGAATATCAATGAAGGCTTTGAGCTGCTCTATTCAGGCGAAAGGTAACCTCTGCTCTGGGCTCTGCCTCCTACCACGGGCTAGGCTGGATATCCCAGTAATGCTGCCTGCTCCTTCCTTCTTGTTTTGTTTGTTTATTTAATCTTGCAAGATCAGTATGCTGAGCCCTCCTTCATAGACTGTCACTGTCCTCCCGTTGTTCATCAATTTGATCGAGCAGGTACAGTAACGTCTCCATTGTGACACTTGTTGCTGTATTTGGCATATAGAATACGTCACAGGTAGCTTGCCAAGCTTTGCCGTGCGGGCAAGATACTCTCCGTAGCTTGCCAGGCTCTCCGAGAGGGGCGGAAGAATCAAACCTGGGTCGGCTGGGTGGACTGTGTGCAAGGCAAACGTCCTACCCGCTGTGCTATTGCTCCAGCCCCTTCCTTCACAGACATGGGGTTTTATTTTCCTATATTAACCAATTCTCTAGATTTCAGTCTACTTTTACACAGGATGGATTTTATCTTGGTTATCTTCACTTTGTGAGCTGGAGCGATAGCACAGCAGGTAGGGCGTTCGCCTTACAAGCGGCCAACATGGCCAACCCAAGTTCGATTCCTCCGCCCCTCTCGGAGAGCCCGGCAAGCTACCGAGAGTATTCAATATGCCAAACACAGTAACAACAAAGTCTCCAATGGAGACGTTACTGGGCCCGCTTGAGCAAATCGACGATCAACGGGAGGGCCTTTACCTTTACCTTTACCTTATCTTCACTTTGTAATAAAGCTGCAAACAAGCTTAAGTAATGCAGTAGCACTGTAGCACTGTCCTCCCATTGTTCATCGATTTGCTCGAGCGGACACCAGTAACGTCTCACAACAAATTATGAGACTAGTTTTTACTGTTTTTCGCATATCGAATTCTTCACAGTAGCTTGCCAGGCTTTGCCGTGTGGGCGAGATACTCTCAGTAGCTTTCCAGGCTCTCTGAGAGGGGCTGAGGAATCGAAACCGGGTCAGCCGTGTGCAAGGCAAATGCCCTACGCATTGTGCTATCGCTCCAGCCGAAGTAATACAGTTATGCCACAAAATTCCTACTTCATCGTTTCAAGCTGCTTTTACATGTGTTTTATTTAGACCCCTGCACAGCGGGAATTGTTACTACTTTTGCTATTATCATCATGATCATGCGCACGCTTACAGTTTCCCATTTAAAAAACCAGAAATGTAACAGCAGACAAGCTGCCTATCCAACCTCCTGGCACAGCTCGAGGCAGGGGTGGTGCTGGCCTGACCCCGCTTGCTTCCAGCCCTGCTTTGAGGAATGGACCTCCCTGTCCTGAGCGTCTGTTCTCCCAGGCCCTCGCAAGACTGAAGGCAGGGCACAGAATTTGTAGGATCAGATGTGGAACAGCTTCCCAGAGAGTTTGTCTGTGACAAATGGAACAGCTTAGTGATCACCCAGAATGTACCAGTGCTAAGGTTTAGTGCAAAAGCAACAAGGCACATGCACCCTCCTCTGAGATTCCTTCTCTTTCCTCTCCCTGATGGTCCTAAGCCTTTCTTGGGTGAACCTCAGGCCCAGCCACGTTTCCCTGTCCTAGGAACACCCTTCACCGCTTTTAAGCCAGAAAAGAATAAAATTAACTGTCATGACCACTCATAAACTTTCCCTCCGTTACTCAGAAGTAGTAACTTATTGTTAACTTGTAGAAACAGTCACTGGGTGTCCAAAGTAGCATCTGGTCTGCTCCAAAGTACACCCTTACTGAGGGACCGTGAGTGGACGGTGGCACGCTGAAGCCTTCATGTGTCTCATCCAGGGAGCAGGTCTCTGCTCTCACCTCTCCAGCCCCGGACGCCTGAACACGGCAGACTGGGCACTGGATGCTTCACTCACCTGGTCTATTGCCTTTCTCATCGGGAAGGCCCTCTCCTCCGGGCAGCCCTCAGGACCTGGCTGACAGTCCAGCAGAGCCAGACACTGGCCAGAGATACACACCTGGAGAGTAGGAACCGGGCATCACCACAAGGGACGTGCAGGGGCTGAAACTACCAGGACTTTCCGGAACAAATAGGAAGGAGTCTGCTCAGGCTGTTTCTGGTGGGGACAAGTCACTCACTGGAACCTGTCGCTTTCTCTTCCAGCATCCGGACTGTCCTGACGTTCTAGATTCCCGCGGCCAGAGTCAGCACTGGCCAGAGGGAGCAGGGGCCTCCTCCCGCATGGCCCTCCTCGAGCCCAGAGGCACTCACAGAAGGAGACTTGGTGAAGAGAAACAGCCTCCGTGGAACTGGTCTGGAGAACCTTATGAGCACACACAGGAATTAATGGGGTGGGGGTAGTGGGAGGAGAATCTCTAAAATGTAATTTGCATATTCTAAGGCTGTAATCGTACATCTGGGGGCATACTTATATTTTCCCGTTTGGGGAATATTTGAAGAAGAGTCTTAACCATTGAGCATGACTGAAGAGCAAATAGAGCATACACAGAGTCTCCATTCCTTCTTGTGTGGTATCTGCTGGAAATAAATTTACTACCCAAAGAAATTATCATTGTATGTCTGGTCTTTTTTTTTCTTTTTGGGTCACACCCGGCGATGCACAGGGGTTACTCCTGGCTCTGCACTCAGGAATCACTCCTGGTGGCGCTCAGGGGACCATATGGGATGCTGGGAATTGAACCCAAATCCGGGTTGGCTGTGTGCAAGGCAAACGCCCTACCCTCTGTGCTATCGCTCCAGCCCCTGTATGTCTGGTCTTTAGCACACTGTAACTATTCCTCTCTTGATTCAATTGTAAATATTTGTGGCCATGCCCAGTGTGGCTCAGACTACCCAGGCCTTTGCCTGTGCTCCCCCTGAAGACCTTTGGGGGCATGTGCTAAAGTCCAGAGCTGACCCCCATACATGATCCTTGGTGCTCTCTCTCTTGCCCCCAATGCAAACATTTTCTTTAAAAAACACTTGTTATAAATTAACTGGCATTAAGTTGGGATCAGCTCTGTGCTGTGCAAATGTTGATTTGAGGGAAAAGTCGAGGATCTGAGCAAGAGAACGGTTAACCATTTCTTAGAATCCTTCTTAAATAAGAAGATGAAACTGGGAAAACCTATTAGAAGGCTCCATGAGGCTATATCCCAATACATTACCAGTTCATAAAATATACTTTACTATATACATATATATATATATTATATATATATATATATCTTGGGTACTACTACTGTAGCATTGTCCTACTGTTGTTCATTGATTGCTCTGGTGGCCCCAGTAACGTCTCCATAGTGCGACTTGTTGTTACTGTGTTCGGTATATCGAATACTTCATGGATAGCTTGCCAGGCTCTGCCCTGCGGGCAGGATACTCTCGGTAGCTTGCTGGGCTCTCCAAGAGGGTCGGAGGAATCAAACTCGGGTTGGCTGTGTCGGCCACATACAAGGGAAATACCCTACCCGCTGTGCTATTGGTCCTGCCCAGGTATTACTACATTAGTACAAAAGTACAACTAGAATGACCGGTGGTATATATCTTAACCCTCCACTCAGTAAAGTATGACTCCCTCAACAACAAAAGTTTCTAACTTGGTACAACTGCACTGTCGTATCTATGTCTGCCTCTACTAGACTTTTTGATAAAAACAAAACATTTGAAGGTAGAAGTTCACTTTCCTTCATCCAGTTTGTTGGTCTAGATTTAAAACAGGGGCTGGAGCGATAGCACAGCAGGTAAGGCATTTGCCTTGCATGCAGCTGACCTGGATTCTATTCCCAGCATCCCATATGGCCCCCAAAGCACCACCAAGAGTAATTCCTGAGTGAAGGGCCAGGAGTAACCCATGTGCATCGCTGGGTGTGACTCAAAAAGCAAAAAAAAGTAAAATAAAATAAAAAATAGATTTAAAACAAAAGAACTGAGGTTTCTGAACTATATAGGGCATTCCTTTGTGAATCCAATTCAGTATCTGCCCTTTATCTGTGGCAATTCTCAAAGCACTTAGAAGTCATCACAGTGTATTACTCTCTGACGCAGGGAAGCATCAGAAGCAAAGCTGACAGTCACTCATTTGATGCAAACCGTCTCAGCCCCTCTTAGAAGGGCAGCAAGGCCCTTGTTATGGGCTGGCTGATCCCCCACCCACCCTGGCTCCCACAGTGAGCCCCCACGGGAACCTCGATCCTCTGTGCCCACCCTGCTCTTCCTCACTAGAATGTTCGCTCTTCTGCCCCCTCCTCTTCCCAAGCATGTCCTGGGGAGACAATCTCCTCCTCTCTGCTGGTCTGCAGGTCTCTGTCCTCGGTCACCTTGTGGGTATTGAGCTCCATGGTACAACTGTGGACATACCTGTCTTCTGGCTCCTGCTGTCTGGTGTGGACCCTGTCATCCTGCACACACTGGGTATTCTGCATGCACTGTACTGTCCTGCGTGTACTGTGTCATCCTGTGAGCAATGTGTTAGCTTGCGTCCACCATATTATCCCATTTTGCCATGTTATCCTGTGAGTACCATGTTGTCGGCAGTCTCCTGCCCCCACGCCTGGCTATTCCTTGCCAGGGCCCCTTGGAGGGGAGCGGGTTGAGCTTTCCTCCCCACCCTGAGCAGGGCCCCGGCAGCCGAAGACCTCCAGGACCAGCCACCACCATGCTGAGACCACTCTCCGCACACCTGAAGGTACCGGCAGAGGGACAAAGCCACATGGGTTCCGGGGACAAGATCTCCAAGCCTACTCAGATTGGAGTCGAGCATCCTCCACCCAGATCCTCCAAATTCCAGTAGGCGGGGGTCACACCCACCAACTGGCCCCCTGGCACCGTTTAATCCCATCAACGGCCAAGACTCAGAGACTATAAAAACCTGTTCCCGGAACCACGCGGCCGCGTTTGCGACCGCGCAACATCTTATTATGACATCTCATTCCTACTTTGACAAACTGGCAGGCTACCGAATGTAGCCTGCCCACACGGCAGAGTCTGGCAAACTCCCCATGGCGTACCCAATATGCCAAATACCAGTAACAATGATGGGTCTCATTCTCCTAAAGAGCCTTGAATATAATCTCAGGGCTAGGATGAAGGAGACGTTACTGGGGCCTGCTCGAGGCAATCGACGAATCGACCATGTTGTCATATGTGTATCGTATTATCCTGTGTGCAGCATGTTGTCCTGTGTGTAGCATGTTGTCCTGTGTATAGCATGTTGTCCTGTGTGCACATGTTGTGCTGTGTGCATATGTTGTCCTGTGCATAGCATGTTGTCCTGTGTGCACATGTTGTGCTGTGTACATATGTTGTCCTGTATGTAGCATGTTGCGCTGTGTGCATATGTTGTCCTGTGTAGCATGTTGTCCTGTGTGTAGCATGTTGTCATCTGTGAACATGTTGTCCATTGTGTAGCATGTTGTGCTATGTGCACATGTTGTTCTGTGTGTGGCATGTTTTTCTGTGTGCACATGTTGTCCTGTGTATAGTATGTTGTCCTATGTGCACATGTTGGCCTGTGTGCGTATGTTGTCCTGTGTGTAGCATGTTGTCCTGTGTATAGCATGTTGTCCTGTGTGTAGCATGTTGTCCTGTGTATAGCATGTTGTCCTATGTGCACCAGGTTACCCTTGTGCACTGTATTGACCTGCATACTCATATTATCTGTGTGCACACATGACAACACAGTTTTAATTCTGAGATGAAAAAATTATTAACTATGTGGAATGGAGATCCTGAGGATAAATTCTCTAAAGTAACATCACTATCATGATCATCCTATTATTCGTCGATTGCCTCAAGCAGGCACCAGTAACATCTTCTTCATCCTAGCCCTGAGATTTTAAAAAGTGCCATATTCCAGGCTCTTTCAGGATTAGGAGAACGAGACCCATCATTGTTACTGGTATTTGGCATAATACCATGGGGAGTTTGCCAGACTCTGCCATTTGGGCAGGTTACATTCGGTAGCCTGCCAGGTTGTCAAAGTAAGAATGAGATAATAGAACCCCTGAGCTGCGCAGGACAGGCACGGAGGCCCAGCTCTGGGCAACAAAGCTGAACGGCTCCAATTTCAAACAGGTACAGCCCGCCTCCAAGGGCCTGGGACCCTTTCTGGGCACGCGCACCTAGATCCAGCCCCTAGACAGCCGGTTTTCAACCCCTGAGCTGCGCGGGATGGGCACGGAGGCCCAGCTCTGGGCAACAAAGCTGAACGGCTCCAATTCCAAACAGGAGACGTTCCCAACTCCTCGCCAGTGCCAGGGACTCTTTCCGGAGCCGCGGCCTCTAACGCGGCTGCGAAATAATTTCCCACTACGTATGCCATAGGAACCATAAGCTACCTTCTTAGATGGAAACTTCTCTATTTTAGCTCAGCCACTAGAAACACAGTAGCCAATAACTCATAAGCCTATCTTAACTCACACTGCATATCAAGCAGAATAGTAACAGTGAACGTGAAGGACTAAACCACACCTCTCACAATGGTAAAGCAACGCAAAAGCCCACCAAACTTTCATATTGAAGAGTCTAGCCCAGATGACACCAACAGTACTGTAGTGTTAGACAACCTCTCTGACAAGGAATTCAGGAGGGAGCTACTTAGCATGCTTAGGGAATTAAAAGAAACAATGGAAAGCAATGCCAATAGAAGACAAGAGGATCTGAAGGCAGAAATGAGGAAAATGCAATCAGAAATATCAGACCTGAAAAATCTCGTAGGCGAATTGAAAAGCTCAGTGGAAGGCCTCAGCAGCAGAGTAACAGCTGCTGAGAACAGAATCAGTGAACTCGAAGATGAAGTTCAGAGACTCTCCAGAAAAGAGCAGAAAATGGAAAAGAGACTCACAGTTCGCGAACAGATGGCAAGAGAAGATCGGGATGAAGCCAAGAGGGGTAACATAAGAATTATTGGAGTCCCAGAGGGACAGGAAGAAAACCTTGATGAAGAAGAAACTGTCAAAGACATCATTGCTACAACGTTTCCAGAGCTGAAGAAAACTTGTGACCACATTCAGGAGGCCCGAAGGGTACCAGCTAGAAGAAATCCGAATAAAAATACCCCAAGACACATTCTGATCAAAATGACCAAAACCTTAGACAGAGACAAAATTCTGAAAGCAGCAAGATCGAAGAAAGAAATCTCTTACAAAGGAGCATCCTTAAAATTCACAGCTGATTTTTCTGATGAAACCCTCATGGCCCGAAAACAGTGGTGGGACATAGTGAAAAAACTCAATGAAATAAATGCCTCTCCAAAAATACTTTACCCAGCGAGACTCTCATTCATAATAGAAGGAACAACACACAGTTTCACAGACAAACAACAGCTCAGGAACTTCATAGACTCAAAACCATGGTTACAAGAACAACTAAATGGGCTACTTTAAGGCAAGAAAGGCCCCTCAGATACACCAAATTTTAACAGAACAATGGGACAAAATCCCATAACAATAATCTCTCTCAATGTCAATGGGCTAAACGCACCAATTAAAAGACATAGAGTGGCAGGACGGATTAGAAAATTGAACCCAACATTCTGCTGCCTG